ATGCAGAAACAGAATCAGGTTGAACTAAGCCCTGACAACAACTGTCAAAATCAACACTGGGAACTCTACAGATCATATGAACTGGAGTGTTCAATACACAAATTAAAAGGAGGGAAAAAGAAAGAGGGGAAAGTAACATGCAGATCAACATAGCTTCAAAAGTGTGAGACATTTTTAAGAAAGTGAAAACACTACTCAGTAAGCCATTCATTCCACATGTGTGTGTTGAGCTCCTATCATATGCATTGATACAAGTATGGTAGAGACAAAAAGATAAATACAAAAGTGTCCTTTCCCCGTGTGGAATAAAAATGTGGCCATATTTATTATTCTGTTCCATAACTTCACCTTTTTAGCCAGTATTATATTATGAGCCTTCTCTGTATCATTAAAATAGCACCACAAACTCAATTAATGGCCACACAGTTCTATCACATAGAGATATCTTAATTTATTTAACCTTCCCTTGGTGATGGCCATTTTAGTTCATATTTAGTACAAATAATGCTATGGTGACAATTTGGTAAGTAATGTCCACTCCATTTCTAACCATTTTTAGCATAAGTCCCTTAATGTGCAACTGCTGTATCAGGCAGAAGAGGTTAGAGCCAGCTGCTTTCCCAAGGGCAAAGCGTGGCGGGGACCAGGTGAGGTCAGGAGTAACTTCAGTGAGCTGTCTTTAGTGTGGCCACTAGCCAAGGTCTCCCATCCATCCCTGTGGAATGTCTGGCACTGATTTCACTTCCAGGTCTGATCTGGACATTGATTGAGAGTGACTAAATTGTCTCCAGGACCCTTTCAAGCTGAAATTCTGGTGATGCACACCTGAAATTCCAGCACACTGGGAAGCTGAAGCAAGAGGATGGCAAATTAAGTCACACCTGGGCAACTTAGCAAGATCTTGTCTCAAAATAAAAAGGGCTGGGGATACAACTGAGTGCAAAGGCCCTGAGTTCACCATAAAACAAAACAAAACAAAACAAAACAATCTGCTATTGTTCCAATCTCTGTTTCTTTCGGAACCTCTGTTTCCTACATGGGAATTTTCACCCTTTGAACTCAGTGTAATTTTTTAGTAGCTGCAGTGCCACTGAGATAGACACAGTGATTTGACTTCCTAGCTGAGATTCTTTCCTACTCCTTGCTCACCTTTATGTTGTAAAGAGTACTTCTGCCAGCCCACCTGCCAACCCACATCAGCATCTCCAGGCATTTCCCTCACAGCATACAATTCCTGTGCTTGTGACACTCCGCCCCAGCTCTAACATACTGCGCATTTAACTTTGTGTACTTACACAGTGACCACTTCTACTAGGTTATTGGCTCCATATAAACTAGGACCAATATGATTAATTTTTTTCTCCCTGACTTCTCAGCCCAGATCTTAGGCCTTGCTGTGATTCCTGACTATATCTTTCTGTTCCTTCTACCATCTCTTCCATTCACTTCCTGTTCCTGTTGTGGGGAAGCTTCCCTAAACCGCACCTTTCTGCCTTTTTTTATTCCATTGCCCTCATCCATCTGACTACAAACAGCCACGAGGAGGTAAATGGAAAACACTCTTTCTCTATACTCACATACTTCCAGCACCAAAGATGTGAGGTTCCCCCTACAACAACAACCTGTCTCTAACTCCCTGGACACCGGTGGGGGCCCTGAAGATGAACTCATTCCTCACACCAGCTGCCCAAAGCCAGTGCAGACCCCAAAAATTCCAGGTTCTATGCCACAGGGCTTCCCTTGGCCCAGACACCAGTATAAATAGGGGGTCCCCAGATCACCCACACTTCTACCCAACTTGCAACAAATCTTGGTTTCTTATGAGCAACCTTCTGAGCGTCCCTTCTTTGTGATCATGGGTCACAAAAGTTGGAAAAAGACCTCCATTACAGTTACTGGTTTACTCCAAAGACTAAAACTCTGAGACTGTCAAATGGAAGGCATGCTTACAACAGGGTATGCAGCAGGGCTGCCGGGGTTCACCTCCCACTTGGTGTCTGGATGCACTCCTCATCCCAGAAGCTCTCTGAACTTGCCATTTAGGGTTTTACTGAGGCTTTATCCTGTAGGCATGACTGGTTACATCCGTGTTCACGCATGACTAAGTAATTTCTAACACTGCTCCCCCCAGAAGTCGTGTGGGGGGCCATGTCTGAACTCCCAAGTCTCTGGTTGTGCCTCGGCTCTCTGATAACCATCCCAACCCAGAACCCCAAATGCACATCACCTCCTTAGCATCCACAAGGAAGTCCTCTCGCTGTAAGACTCCTGTGTGCTGAACCTGGGCTGAGACCAAGTATCACAACGTCAGACTTCCCTGCTGTCTCATCACTGCAGAAATTGTGAGGATTTTAGAACCTATGTCAGGAACTGGGGCAGAGACCAAATACATAGTTATTATGTCACAGATGTAACACAAGAAACTGGCTTAGCCTAAGGTGTACCTAAAAGTGCTTCAAAGATACTGTCCAAGATGATTCTTCCAAGAGCATTCTACATTTGGTATAAATTGTGATTACATTTCCTTATGATTACAACTATCATCAAATCTTTTAAAGAAAATGTATTGGGAGAGTTCAATATTTCATTATAGAACTAAACATTCTAATCTCCCCTTTCTTTTCTGCTAACGCTAAAAATGCTTAATAAATATAGTAATACTGATACTTAAAATGACCACATGGAAGCTGTAATAGCTTCTATGCTTGTTTCTTTACTGGTTATTTTATTTATTCCTAAATAATCACAGCAAGTAAGCATTTTTATCCCTAAATTCTAGAAATTTGCTCTCAGACATTAAGTGAAATATTTAAAATTCTCATAGGTTGTAAGATTTGCAACTAAATTCAGACCTTCCTTTTTCTCATTTAAATGTCTGTCCTCTCAACCAGCACATAAACTGAATCCTCCTTTGGATCTTACCTGTCACCTGTCACCTCAAAAGGACAGAGAGCCCTGTGCACCTGCGTCCTCCAGCTGATGCCTAACAATGTGCATGTCTTCAGTCTTGTACAGAATAATCATGCTTGATAACGTCCTCCTAAATCTACACCACACCTCTTCTCTCATCTCAGGCAGAATCTCCTCAGATTCAGTGCATTTGTTAGGTGATCTAACAAAACTCAGCGTCTCAGTGGATTGATGCACTAGATATTCACACCTTGTTCACATTTAATCCAACACAGGCATCTACTGAGCGGCTGGCTCCATCGCAACCCTGGGACCTAGGACTCCTTCACCACGCGCCTCTACCTTCCCAGGCACAAGAGTGGCAAGATCCACACCAGGGATTTCAAGTCTACAGGAAGGTGTGCTGGCTTCTGATTGCTCTGGAGTAAGCACACACACCTAGCACTGTCAATGCACAGGTGGGAATTAGTCCTAGGCACTGAGGAACGGAGCTGGAGATGTGGTCCTAATCTAAAAGCTGCTCCCAGCAAGCTCCAAACCACAGAAAGCAGCAGGCATCTTTGGGTGTCACTTTGCCATTTCTGCCACCTCTGGACTATGGGAGGCCATGACTGTGCAGAGGAGGGAGCCTGGAGCTTCGCACTGGCCTCATGCTTCCTGGTGAAGCAACCTCAAATACGTGGCTCAGCTCTTGGAGCACAGTATGTCGTCTCTGACTCAGAAAATACACGCTTCCTTGTTGTTAGGAGGCCAGATGTGAGGTGTGTGCAGTGACTGCACAAAGCCCATGGCCGTGATCTTCACCATCACATTACCATGGCCCACAGGGACACAGAAGCAGGCTACTGCTCCCCACAGGACAGCACTGCCCAGCAATCCGCCTCTGTCTCTAAAGTCCCCACAAGGGGCTAAGCACTGCTCCTCCTCCCACTGCAGTTTCAGCCTGCGTTTGTTTCCGTGGCCTGCAACACTCCCTGCTGTGCACAGGGCCAGAATGTCAGCTGGGAAGCATGACTGTGGGATTTGACTGGGAGTCAGTTTTTGGTTAACAATATATTTAATTTAATTAGTATTACAGAACAGTAAAGCTGTTTTGTCTCATGTCTCAACTGTCTTTCATATTTTTAATATTATTGAGAAAGTCTCCGTAGGCAACATCAAAATATAATTATTTGGAGGACACCCTGTTACAGTGGGGGCAACACCTCTGCTTCTAACCCGCCTCCCACCTGCCAGCCTGTCCTTGTAACTAACTATTCCTGCCCATTTCCACCACAGGCTCTCGGTCTCCTCCTGCAGTCCTGCTGTATTCTTACGCTCACTCTTTCCCTGCGTTTTTGGCATGTTTCTTAAACTGTCGCTGCCTAACGATAGTGATAGTGAGATAGTGATGCCTTTCTGCCAACAGCAGAGGCTGGTGCCCAAGGCAGGGGAAGTTAGGCTTCTGGATCTTTCCAACTACTTTCCCTTCCTTTTTAAAGGGCCACTCCTCACATGCAGAAATGAGTGTCATTGTCTCACAGGTTCTGTTATTACTGCTGTTGTTGTTTCCATGTTCTGGGTTTTTGAGATCCAGTCTTACTGCATTGCTCGGGCTGGCCTCAAATTCCTAGGATCACGCGATCCTCCCACCTGAGCAGCCCAAAAGGCTGGGAGCACAGGTGCACACCAACAGGGAAGCTGCTGGAAATGCTCCCAAAGCTAACCTCTGAATAAGGGAATTGTTACAGATTTTCTACAAAAGTCCTCCTGAAAAAATCAAAATAATATTACTGGGAGGAAAATGAATTAAGTTAGTGCACTGACAATATGCAGTGAAAATTGGTAGATTGAATTTTTCTTCAAAGGAAATTTTGGTTTAGTGAGGACACAGCCAAAAATATCATAGCTGATTTCAGAAACATTCTTTGACGAAACCACCACCATCCAACTTTAATTACTTTTTCCCTCATCAATGATTCACATTCGTAGAGCATCCATCCTCAGGGCAGTCTGAGACCAGCCTTAAAAGCCCTCCCTCAGTGAGCAAGGAGATTGCTGGGAAAGCCTCTTGGGTCGCAACAATCACAAACATCCATAAAGCCACTCACTTTGTATTACCTCCCCTCGGGGAAGACGAAAACGAGGTCCATCAGCAGTCGGGCCCCAGTTCTCTAAGTGCGCAGACAGTTTACCATCTAAGGACACTGAGCCAGGATCAACAAAACCAAAGAGTCACGGCCCACAGTAATGAGGGCCAAGCTTTCGAAATTTTCCATCAAAGTTGGAAGACTCTTATCTTTTCAGCATGCCTGGAACTTAAGAGAAATCCAAGGCAGGGCATGGAGACTGTCACATGGCAGATACTAATTGTTCCGATTAAAGTCTAACAAGCTGGCTTCCCTGCTGCTCTGAGAATGTCTCTGACTTTTGATCCTGACATCTGTGTCTTACAAGAATTTCACTCTGCTCTGACATTCCTTCTGATGTTGATCCAGGAATTAATGGATTGTGAAAAAGCTGGCAGGATATCATTTAAAAAATAGAATTCCTAGTGTACAAGTGATGAAAAGGTATCAGAATTCACATACTTGGTGTCTGATACCAACATGATTCTCAGGTTTGGCTATTTGGGGTTTTGTAATGCTGATCCCAAAGGGGACTGACAACAAAATTTAGCTAAAAAGTTCTCGTGACAAAATAAAAAGTTATTTTAATGTTCTTTCATTATGTAGAAGGAACATATCTCCAAGAAACACTAAAATTTTATATGAGATCATTTGGTTTCAGTAAGTACTTTTAATATATATTCAGTAGGTCACCTTTTATAAGGAATCTAATATTTTTATACAATGAAAATTTTTGTTTAAGAAATGAAAGATTTTTTAATGACTTGAAACTTACCTTGATAATATATATATACCATAGCATCTTTCTAGCAATTTATAATATGTTTGGATACAGGACCATAATAAACAATTAACCAAAAGGGGCATTTTCTTTAATTAAGGAAACTACAATTTTTAATTCAAAAAAGTTTAAATTAAAACTGTCTAAAGATTGGTTTTAAATTAAGAGATTCTCTTCAAGATTGAAATTTTACACATCAGAAGATACTGCCTTGCATTTCATGGCTCTAGATAATTACTAGATGCCAGTGGGTAACTTAAACATAGCTTAGATTCATTGACATTAATGTGTGACAAGCATTACGGAACATATTTAGTAATTTTTTTAAAAAGTAAGAGGATTTTTGAAAAAACAGTGAAAACTGCCATTGTGGCAACAATATAAATTTTTGAGTAAGGAAAAACATTCTCCTTTATTTCTTAATGATTCAGGAACTCAACCAATTAAAATCGTTAGATCAAATTGAACCAAACAAGTCATTTAATTGTTAGATCTACAATTAATGTAAAAATAAGGTTAGATACACAATTCCTATATTCAGGCAAATGTGTAATTTTCACATTAAAAGGAACACTTTTGGCTTTTTAAGTCTCAAATGTCTTATGACTTATTCATCTAGATTGCTTTGATAAACAGATAATTCCTGTGTTACATCAAGAAATATGGCAACAAGTTCATTTAAAGCAATAAAAGTGATTGCGCCACGCTCTCACTGGCTACTAACAACCAGCCTATCGTGGTTCGTCATTGTTATTGTCTTCTAAGGATATTTAATAATTGAAAATGTTATGTATTACCTTTTTAGGACTTGTCAAGCTCCCAAGCACCCTAGAAATACACAGTTACTAACAGGATGAGCGTTACTGGTACCTAACAAAGAAAACAAGCTTTTCCAACCCCAGACCACCTCCAGGCGGGTCTTCCTATGCCTCCCTCTCACACCAGCAGCTTTGACTGTCCACAAACATAACGTGACTGTCCTCTGTCCTGTCAGACTCCACTCATATTAAAGGGCAGAAACAGAGTCATCATAGTTATTATTCTAGCCCTGGTTTAAAGGGCACATGCTTGATACCCAATGAATAAATGATCGAATGTGACTTAAGCACTAGTCCTTATTTCAATGATTTCTTTGGATCTGTCTTTTATTATATGCTGCCTTACTTCTTAAATGAAAGAAGGTTGTAAAATATCTGCTACATTTAATATTACTAAATTAAAATTGTTACCACAATTAAAATAATGTATTGCTATTATTAATAAACGTATATGAACTGCATATTTTGTCTATGTGGTCATTTTAAAGAAATTGAATCTATCGTATTAATTTCTCCACTGTAACTAAAGTATTTTTTAGAACTCTCAAAAGCCAGGGGTATGACTCAGTGGTAGACCTCTAGCATGTACAACCCTCTGAGTTCACTCCCCAGCACTGAAAAGAAAGATCTTTCTTCTTTCTTTCAGAAACAAGGATCTAGTTACTTTCAGAGCTATCAAGCCCAGAAAATGCAATACTTGGATCAGGAAGAAAGTGTCATAACATCCACAAATTAGTACCTGCATCCAGAAGAGCTTCTTCAAGTCTCCTGGCAGCTGTCACTTTCACCTGTACCCTCTGTCCCCTCCTAGCACTCCTGAAATAGACCTGAAATAAAAATACACTGAAAAGCAACTACAAAATAGTGAGAGGCCACACAGCCTGGGCCACCTGAAGCCCTGCCTGTGAGCCCACAGAAAGAAGACAAGGGCCGTGGAGGAGACGCCTGACAGATGGGAGGAGCGGGACGTACACGCGGGCAAGGAATAGACAAGACACTCATTGTAAATTCTTAAAGACTGGTTCACTGTCACCTAAGGAAGACAGAGCTGGCACAGCTTCTTTTAGATGCCTCTCAGGATTGTTGGGGTTTTTTTTCCTTGTGTGTCTTGAAAGTATAAAGTGGCAGCTGCTTTTAAATAAGTCATTTTTTGGATTTTCAGGTTGCTTCTGCCAGAGCTAAGAAAGACCAGGATGTGAGTGTGGATTCTGACATTTCCTCTACAGTGCACCATCCTGCACCGCAAAGCCCTCCAAAGCTGCCTGGCCCTTGAGCCTGGAGCCGGCCCCACTGTCTCAAATCCCGCACACACTGCCATTGCCAGAAGATCTACTCATGGCGCCAAGCAAAACATAAGCATCAGCAGATCACTCTTGCCAAAGGTGTTTAACCTGAAGCATCCCAGTCCTTGGAGACAGACATCTCAGTCTGGGTCCCTGGATGTTTAAGGGGCCTTGTGGGTGGAACTTAAGGAGTGTGTGACCTCAGACGGGTAAAAGATGTGTTCTCTGTTTACTGGAACATAGGACAATTGCACATTCTCCCTCACTATAAATGTGAAGATCGAAATTGGTTTAATGATACCTTCCAGGTCCCTGTTCTGTTGACAGAAGTCGTATTTTTGTAAAAGTGAGCACTGTCACGTACCTTCATCTTCTTATGCATTTTTAAATATTGTTTACCCTCAACTATGAAGTAACACAAGGATGCAAAGTGGCGCTGACTGTTCCTAATGTCTTTGGAAACAGAACCCTGTATCACGCTGGCTTGGTCACCTCTTTTGTCAGGCCTGCTCCCAAGTCAAGGGAAAGATCACGCCCCACGTCTCCCCGGACAGGATGGGTATCAGCTTGGACACTTTCTCTCCGAGCTCTGTACTCCCCACTCTTCCTTCTTGGCTTTCTTGCTTGGTCCCCTTGCCAGGTCATGAGGCTTTGGAGAATCCACATTCTGTATCACCTGCCCATTCTCTATTTGTTCTGCACCATGGCTGGAAATCTTTCTAGGCATTAATACTATCATTTGTGTCCCTTGCTCAGATCTCTGTCCTCTGTCCAGCTGCCTGCTCAACACCCTTGCTTGAATAGCTACTGCCACAGCCTTCCCTCACTCTGTACTTATCCATTGCAGTCAATGGGGCCAATATTTTGGGCTCACACCAAAGAATCAGGACACACCTTCCACTCCTTTCTTTTCCTCCATCCCCAAAATTTAATCCAGCTATATAGTCCTCTCCAAAATATAATCTGATTCTTACCATCCCATGTCATTTCCACGACACAATCTGTGCAAACCAACTTCTGCCTGGACACTCCTGCAGCCCAGCAGTAATCACCTGTCCACTCTCCCTCCAGTTCCCCCAGTCCACACAGTGGTCAGCCCCAGAATCTCAAGCAAACAGGAGCTCATGTCACACCCATGCCTAAAAGCCCCAGTGCTTTTCAAGAGGAAAACATGGATTCCTAAACATGCACCAGGGCACTTTGTGTGACTGGCATGACTTCCTCCATCGCAGAGGAAAGGATGTCAAGAGACAGAAGAGATTAGAAAGAATATAGAGTATTCTTCTAGGATAGAGTATGAATGCACAAGAAGGAGAGGGAGTGGGAGTCCAAAAAACAGCCATCAGAACAAGGAGATACAGTGACCTGGGGACCAATGGAGCAGTCGGACTGCCGTGTAATCATTCCTTCCCCCTTTGCATCCACCCTTGCTGAGTGAGTAAGCACCAATACCCACCAGCCTCTGACCCACGGCATCACCTGTAAATCTGAGTCTCTCCCACACCCACATTCATGTGTTACTCATCGTCCATGTGATACGCTACAACCTCAGGCTGCCAGAATCTCTGGCTTTCCTGTCCCTGTCCCCGGGGCTGGGACTCAAGCTCAGTGGCTTGTGCATGTCAGGCAGTGGCTATATCCCTGGTCCCCCTCTCTGTTCTTGAATGGCCCAAGACTGCTCTTCTAAGCAGGAAGAAAGTGTCTCTTTGGTAAAGAATGCTTTCCTAGGCTGAGAATTCTCAGTGCCACACACAATCAGTCACTCCAGCTTCCCACGAGACATTGCACCTCTGTGTGGCCCAAAACAAATCTCAAAGGGAAGCTTGTGAGCTGCATGACCAATAGGGTGCTCACTGAGTTCCTACTGTGGATCTCAGAACAGGCCATGCACTGTTTCTAGAACTTAAATCGTTAAATTTATTCTTATCTTGTGATATCATCATGCAATCCATGACCCCTAAAGCACAAAGCAGACTTCTTATTTGGCATTCCACCATGAGGCCAAGTCACCTTGGCCATATCCCTGCCTCCCAGGATTCATGAACAAACAGACCTCTCCATGCCTCTGGAGTCAGCCCTTGGCCCCAAGCAGGAGAGGTACAGAACTCCTTAGAAAGCCAGTTTTTCAAGGCATAATTTGCTTGGTTGATCCACTGGCTAGTTCAGAATGTATTTATGACTTCAAGTGCAAACTAAAAAGTGGTTCTCATCTACAGAGAATCATCTTCCCAACTCATCGGGCATATCCAAGAGTCCTCATATCAGTCAGCCTGTGTCTTGGGGTCAGAGCTAAACTGATTCCACATACCCAGACTTTTGTGTCCCTCTGGGACAACAACAACCTATTGGTACAACAGCAATTACTGTGATAAAGAATTATGATAGCTCAAATGACTGCACATCCTAGATTCACTCATCCTATTCATTAATGCCATTCGTATTTGTCAGGAGCAAATACATATATGCAATGCATCTTTAAAATCAGCACACACTCGGGCCAGGGATTTAGCTCAGCGGCATAAGCACCTGCCTGGCAA